CTAGTGCACCACCATTTATGTCCGTTCGTCTCTATCGTCTTCATTATGAAATTTTACAATTTTATCAATTTATGATTCCAACTGAAGAAGAACATGCTGTACGACAACAAGTCATTAATCGTATAACTAATGTTATTAATCAATATTTACCTACAGCATCTGTAAGAAAACGAAGAAATGCAAAAAAGAAATATTATTTTTATTGTTTATATTAGGTTGATATTTATGGCAGTTATAAAACTGGATTGTATTTACCGATGAGGTTAGAGAAAACGAATTTTTTCGAATATAATTAAGAATATTTTGTTATATTTAGTGATATTGATTTAATTGTGCATTCAAAAGATGGCCGTCAATGGCGACCAGAAGAACTTGAAGCATTAATGTTAGTTTTACGTGAAGCTTTTTGTCGTCATCGTATTTGTACACAAGAAGGTATTCAATTATTAAATGGAGCAACAGTACCAATTATTAAATTAACTGATCGACGAACTGATGTTAAAGTGGATATGAGTTTCAATATGAATAACGGTCTTCGAAGTGCCCAACTTATCCTCGTATGTTTTTTTTTCTTCTTTGAAACAGTCATATGAAAAAACTTTTCTGTAATTTTTTTCTTTCTAGCATTATTTGGAGGTGTATCCGTCATTGAAATATCTTGTTTATGTATTAAAACAATATTTACTACAACTTAATCTCAATGAAGTATGGACAGGTGGTATTAGTAGTTATTCACTTATTCTTATGTTGGTCTGTTTTTTTCAGGTAAATAAAAAAAGCCATAAACTAATATAAAAGTTATTTAAGGCAAAATGCGATATACTCAACTTTCATTTGACTTTGATTCTTTACAAGGATTACTTCGGAACAATCTCTAATCAGATGAGGAAAAAAATTCCAAAACTACAGGATAGACTTTCTGGTATGAATTGAATCTTTGATAAAATTGCCAGTAAGATCAGACTAAAAAACTTATTCAAAAACTCAGTTTTCTAGATATTCTGAAGAAGGATTTGTATCGTTTGGAATTAGTTTTGAACTTCTTATTCGGTTATAATAGCGTTTTTTGTCCTTCGTCACATCCCTAACGGAATCTAAATCAATTTCTTTTTTAAAACTGTTAATAAAATGTCTGTAGGATTAAAACGAGAAACATGATATAGCTGCTCTTGCTAATCACAAGAAGATTACATTCTTCTACCTATATTTATGCACATGTCTCCACTATATTTTTAGTCCTTCAGAAATTCAAAAAGGAAGTAGTTCCTATATTAAAACTAGACATTATTGATATACGATCTTTGATTGAATATCAGCAATGTTTTGTGTGGTCTTAAGCGAGGGGGGTGGGGAGCGAGAAAGATTCAAGTTTCTACCTTATATACTTTAATACTCCTTTCAGATAGTGTTTTACAAAATCTAGACATTCTCAGAAAAACTTTCAATAGAGATTTGGTAGGTTTCGAAATTGTCTATCGATTGTACTATTTAGTTTTGTTTCAGTTCACACATCATGACTGAATGGCTCTGTAGTTCGACACGTATTCACAAGGCAACGTGTTCAAACCTTGATGCCATCAGCCATGAAATGACCTTGAACAAGTTACTTACTTTATGACAAATGCTTGCTCTTGTGATTAGTATGAGGAGCTCAAACAATTAAGTGCAACAACTCTTCATTAGGCTAGCTTTCTGTTCGGAGCTACAGCTAGTATTAGTTTTAGGAAAGATATCGGCCACTAGGCAGCACCTCATACTGCAAGCTAGTCGAAACGCAGAAGTATTCTTCCTTCTATCCTTTTTAAGGTAATTTTTTTTACCTTTAACTCCTGTGAACCAAGTTCTCTAGCACTTATGTCTTTTCACTGTATCTAGAGTATCTTAACATACATGCATTAATTATTCGAAATCACATTGATAAGGAATAAGTTTTTTTTTCTTTTATTTCAATAGACTTATTATAAAAAAGATCAACATTCATTTTGGTCATCATCGTTATCGTCTTCATTTCTATCTGGATTATCAACATCATCATCAGCAACAATAAAAACAACATCATCATCATCATCATTAAAAAATGGAAATCCAATTGGTACTACAGATGATGGTTCATCTTCAACATCATATCCGTCATCATCAGCTGCTTCATGTATATCATCAGATGATAATAACAGTTGTAGTAATAATAACAGTGATCTTGATGATGATCATTTCAATAATGGTATTAGCGGTGGTAGTAATAGCAGTAGTAACAGTTGTACAACAAGTAGTAATAATAGTACGATTGAACATGCCAATCTTGGTCATATGCTTATAAGTTTTCTTGAATTATATGGTGTCTATTTTAATTATGCTAAATTGGGCATTCGCGTACAAACACCACATCAACCTGATCGTCCAGCCGGTTTTATAGATAAAGAAGAATTATTTAAAAATTTTTGTTGTGGACATCGTACGATTAGTAATTTATGTATTGTTGATCCATTTAATGATAGTATGTGAGAAAAATGAAATCTCTAATTTTGTTGTTTTTAATGAATTTTGTTTTTTTTTATTTCAGAAAATGATATTAGTAAAGCTTCATGGTTAACACCAAAACTTAATTCAGCATTTCGTGAAGCATTTGATAAATTATTACAAAGTGTGTCTGATCAAAATACAACATTAAAAAATGCACCTTCGTAAATAAAATAGAAAACAAAACTGAATATTTATTTCATTTTTCTTTTGTTAATATATTATTTTAGTATTCTTTCAAAAATTCTTACTGTCAGTGAAAGTACACTGATCTATCGAAAGCGATTGCGGTCGATTTATCGTGATTATCAAAATGAACAACGACCAGCTCGACAAGTTCAACATAGTCGATTGAAGTATGTGGATTTATTTGATCAAGAACGATATACAATTATTATGATGAAGGATTAATATTAAGAAAAAAATATTTCAACCTTTCATTCTTTTTTTTTCCCTTAGCTAATTAAGCAATGTTTTTTATCATTTACAAAACATCTTCGACTTGTCTTATTGATCCTCAGAGATGTCTCAAATAGATCTTTGTTCGAGAATGCTTACAAGAAGACTGATTCAACTTGGGTTAGGTTATGAGAATAATAAATCGTGATATTGTCTGGTTATATCTCACATTGATATAATAACTAAAGGCGAAGTTTCACGTTAATAAAAATACTGTTAGTAACATCTTGATATTGGTTGTCTAAAATTAGATATGTCAGAATACCAATTTCATATTTTGCATTGTGACATATCTACCTAAAGTAGAGTATTGATTCTTATTCTTCTGTAAAGAATTGTACATGCAAAATTATAACCATGTGTTAGAAATGTTAAAGGTTAGTAGAAGTATAGAACCGTGAGTTCGGAAAAGTTTTCTATTTTTACGGCAGGTTCTTTATATAACGTGATACTATTTTGCTATTTATCACATTGACAGTCTTTCAACTAGCGTACGATTAAAGGAAAGTGAGATTAAAACTTTGTTGGGTAAGAGTAGAGAATATTGAAACTCGAAACTTTTTTTCCAATGACGTCTAGAGGCTTCGCAAGGCAGAATAGGAATTAGACAATTGTTCTCAGGCAAGGCACAAGAAAAAGTTTGTCCTGCATATCTCTACTGTGTGTAATTAGTCTTGGACAAAATTGATCATGTACATCAAATTTTAGTTATGGTCCAATGGATAAACCATTGATACAATATCCAAACGGAAATTCACTAAAATATCCATATCATATACAATTTCAACAACAATTATATGCATCACATAATTTATTTCATCGACCGCAACCACAACGAACGAATCATCAAAGGTAAAATTATTATTTTCTTTTTATATTTCAATTAAAATAATAATTTTATTTTAGATCTGTCGATGATGATCATCGGAATGCTCAAGAATAAAATAACGGTGTCAATAAAAGAACTGTAACAATATAAATGATGGTGATGATATAACCCAGTCAAATATCTCTTGTTGATGTTATCGGTTCCCTTTAACTTCTATTTATTTTTTTTTTCTCACCTTCTCATACATATCTATAGCTTGTTCATCTTCTTTTCTTCTCGGCTCAGCAACGCGTACCACTCATGTCTTTCTTTCTTCTTATTCAGTTCTTTTTTTCTTCTTTTGTCTTGTTTTCTTCATGCCAAAAAAAAAACACTCGTGATCTATTCATATAATTAACAAAAAGAAAAAACAAAAAAAAAATCGAAAAAAATTTTAAAACAAAAAATTAAACCAAAAAAAGATTAAAAAAAGACCTTTTTTTGTAAACACGTATAAAAAATATCAGTAATTTCTTTTCGCGTGCGCGTCTTCTTTTCTTGTTCAACTCTTTCTTCCTTGATTTTAGTGTTTTTTCAGTGAACCTATGAAGATGGAAATGTCCTATTCCATTACTCCTAGAGCCTTATTTCATATGTTCGACTCTTTCTCTCGACCCTGTGTGCAATATATACATATATTGGTTCTAGCTTTCTCTACAGTTCGACTTGTTCTTGTCTCTCACTCTTATGTACATATATTGGCATTCATATGTCTCTCTTTTTCTATTTTTTTTTGTGTGTATGCGTGTGTTCTTTTTTTTCTCTTTTCGTTCATTGTTGCTTGTTTGACTCTTTCTCACATGATTGCGAACTATTCTATTCTGAAAAGCAAAAACAAAAAAAAAGATTTTGTTGTTCTTTTTTTTCTCCTTGTGTTAACTTTATCTATATGTGTAACTTTTTCTATCTGTTCGAGTCAGCCCGAGAAAAAAAAAGCGTATCCATGTAGAATTAGACAGATATACCTATATGTGTGATGGATGCATTTTCGGAATAAAACCGACCCATTGCGAATGTTGGTTTCAGTTATAAGACTGACCAACGGAAAAATATATATACAAATTTTTTAATTTTTTAATTGATTCAATTCATATAGACAGATAATGAATAATTAACAATAGATGTAACTTATTTTTACTTCTTTAGAAATATATAGATGTCTTCGTCTGGAGCAAATAATAGTACTAATAATAATAATAATAATAATAATAATAATAATGAAGACACCAAAACAACAATTTATTCAATGCTTACAGATCAGCCTATAACAATTCCTGATTCTTGTCTTTTTGGTACATGTAGGTAAGATATTAATAATGTGTGAGATTTATCGATGATTTGTTAAAGTTATGAAATGAAGTTATACCAAACATACAAGTGGAGATGCGACTTAAATTTAAATCTGCTGTGACGTTGTGAACTATATAAAAAGTTGCCGTTGCGGCTACGATAGCGTCACCGTGGATATCTCTGAGCTACACGCATAGATTATAGAGCGGTGCATGTAAAATATGGAATAATAGATTGTGCAAAAGTTGCGCATTATTTTTGTTTTCAGTGTAGTGTGATAACAAATTGTCGTGAAGATTCGATAATTTTTTGCTTAGAAAGAGCAAAGTCACCACTAAAAAACTGTTTAAATATATTTCGTTCATAATACTTACAGAAAGCTGAAGAGTTTTAAGAATATATTTGACTGAAAAAGTAGCCTACAACATTAGTGATGACAAATACATTTGATTGATTTGTCTTGTACTCAACTTTCGAAACTTTTAGGTATGTTATGTGGGAGTATAACCAAAGAGGCACAGATTTTCTAATGGCGTCAACATATTCGAGTTACAAAACTACAGATTTCATAGAAAATAATCTTATTAAAGGCTTGATTTCTTTCTACAATGTCTAATAGAGTTTTTTTTATAATATTTAATATTTTGCTTTTGTAAACGGTTCACAAAACTCGAAATGAACATAAAATATGAACAATGAGGGAGAATATCTCTGCATTTCTGCTATCTTTCAGTATAGGATGATGTCCAGTAACAGACTCATTGACCAGATATCTGCGCCCTATAACTAATGATAACTATAGCTCTGAACAAAAGACCAGCTTAACACAGAGTTTTTGTGTTCAATCGATTGAATCCTCTTTAAGCACCAACTAACCATAGGAGCAGATATATGTCACCACGAAATCAGCATGCTATTGAACAAGTGATCTAAGACAAATAACTGTTAGTGGCTTGTTCAGAGTCATTACATGGTTGATGGTTTCATCATTTGAACACATCATCAATTGAATACATGTTGAACAACATAGCCACTCAGTCATGAAGACTAAAACATGAGATTTTACCAAAAGTGAAAAAGTGAGACTTTAGTACTCCAAAGTACGAATGAAGTCTTATACTTTGGAGTGCCGAACTCTTGTTTTTTTCATCCTGGAGTTCTAATAATTTCGATTGCTGAAAAAATACCTTATTTTTCGAAATCATTTGTTAGTTGCAAATACTTTTTGCTAGCAAAGAGAATTAGGAAAACGTCGATTTCAAACGTAACCGATAACTTGAAAATTTTATTTTTACCTGTTTATACCGCAGCACTACAAAGTACTTTAAAAATGGAGAATAAGACCAACTTTCTTAATACATTGAAGTCTTGTTCTAAATCCCCGAAGCGTAGGTTCTGTAATTTGTTGAATTTTCTAAAAAGACTTTTGGAAAACTCATGGCCTTCTATTACGCCTGATAAAAATTTGTCTTATGGATAATCACACGCTATAGGACGATCATTTATTCTTGAAGGAGTTGAAGTTACCTTGATAGATAGAAACTACGTTTGCATATGATACTCTTGTGAATTATAATTTTTATCTAATTTGAAATACTTTCTATTCATTGGTTTTTTTTTGTTTTTCAAAATTGTCTTTTCAAAAAAATGAATTTCTTAATTCTATTTAGACCGGTATCTGAATTTGAAAAATTAAATTGTATTGGCAAAGGTACATATGGTGTAGTTTATCGTGGTCGAGATAAGATTAGTCAAGAAATTGTTGCATTGAAAAAAGTTCGCATGGAAAATGAACAATGGGGTTTACCAATAAGTTCAATGCGGGAAATAAATCTTTTACTTAATTTACGTCATGAAAATATTGTTGAATTACGTGAAATAGCTGTTGGTAAATCATTACGTTCAATATTTCTTGTTATGACTTATTGTGAACAAGATCTTGCATCATTACTTGATCATATGTCACAACCATTTACTGAAGCACAAGTTAAATGTATTGCATTACAATTATTTCGTGGTTTAAATTATGTACATAAACGTTTTATTGTACATCGTGATATTAAAGTATCAAATTTATTATTAACTGATTGTGGTTGTTTAAAAATTGCTGATTTTGGTTTAGCAAGACAATTTACATTACCAAATGGTACAATGACACCCATGGTTGTTACACTTTGGTATCGAGCGCCTGAACTTCTTTTTGGTATCATGAAATATATTTAATAAAAAGATAAGGAAATGATTAATCTTGTTTTTATTTTTACTAGGTTCTAAATATCAGACAACAGCCATTGATATTTGGTCAGCTGGCTGTGTTCTTGGTGAATTATTATGTCATCGACCGTTATTACCAGGTCGTTCAGAAATTCAACAAATTGATTTGATTATTGATATGTTTGGTACACCAACAGAAAAAATTTGGCCAGGTTTAAATGATTTACCTTCATTAAAAAATTTTACTTTACGTCAACAACCATATAATAATGTTAAACAAACATTTCCATGGTTATCTAACGCTGGTTTACGTCTCATCAATTTTATGTTTATGTATGACCCAAGTAAACGGTGAGAAACTTTTTGAAATCAATATCTTTTCTTTTAATATAAATGAATCAGAGTTCCAAAATAGGTTACTAGCGACGGAATTTCTTCAGATATTCCCTTCTGATTTTCAAAGATTTTTTTCCTCTCGATACTATATAATGTTCTAATATAAATCCTAAGGGGATTTCAGTTTCTATTGAGATTTGATTAACCTATGAAATTTTTTTCTAGAAGTTACAGGTTTTCGACAAACTCGTATTTTTGATTTGCGATCTGAAACTTTGTGTATATAGGAGACCTCTACTAGACTAGCTTCTATACAAAAAACAGCTCAGAAGTTTTAAAAAGAGTTTCTTTGAGATATGAAACTTTTCAGATATAGACCTTTTTTCGAAGATAGTGTATACAATATGCATTTTTTGAAAGCTTCATATCTTGGCGAGTCTTTGTTCAAAACAAATGAATTGTTATAGAATCTAATCCAATTGAGTTGTCTATACATGCATAAAGTATCAGATCAAAACTTGAAAATCAGGGATCCTGAAAAATCAATAAATTAAAAATTTAATAGCTTAGTCAAATATCAAAAGGAAGCTAGATAGTTTTAGGGCTTTTTTTTGGCGCATTATCTAGTACTTTGAAAGAAAAAAAAAGCATTGAAATCAAAAGAGGACATCTATAGAGGTTCCCTCGTACATCTGGCTACGACGGGCAGGCGGTCTGACCTGTGCATTGTTGTGAAACACGATCAAAACGAAGTGTTGAAGTATATAGGGTAGAAATTTGCACCTCTTTTCCTACCGATCATGACAGATGTGGTTGATATACAATCAAAGACGGTATATTAAAGGTGTCTCGTTATAAAATATGTTCTGTTTCTTTATGATATTTCTAGAAAGAAAAACAAAAACGATAGAGAAAAGCGCGTCCTAAAGTGGATAGAATAAAACAATCTCTCTGTAATTATTGAGAGTAGCTACATTGTGCTTCTCATGTTTATCCCTTTGAGATTGCACGAACAGCATCTTTTTCTTTGATATCAAAGTTTTAAATATATTATTGGCAAAAAGATGCAGTTGAGATACATTTCAGGGATGGCATGTAAATATGACGAATAAGTTAAATATTTGAGAATGAGTATTGAAACCAAATCGCTTCCTATTCTGAGGAGGTAATAAATGCAAACTTCCATGTTAATCACTATTTACTCTAGAGCCCTGCAGGATGCAGGTAACCTGCCCTGCCCTGCCCTGCCCTGACAGGGCAGGACAGGACAAGCTGCGAAAATAGCAGGGCAGGGCAGGGCCAGGTTATGAAATTTTTACAGGGCAGGTTACAGGTTGTCCATATCGTAACCTGTTAACCTGAGATTAATTTTGAACAACCGACATTTCCGGTNACTATTTTCTTCGAAAATATAGGTGAGTTCCACAAAATTATGAAGTGATTCTTCTTTTTGCAATCTTGGTTCGGATTCGGAATCAAACATTTCTGAAAATGCAAAAATAGCAAAATAGAAAAAATAGATTCCTAAATCATTGTCTATCAAGTTTATTAAAACAAAAAAAAAACATAATTATTCAATAGCATAATGATTTGCACGAGGTTTTTCAAGATCATGATGTATAAAAGCTATAGATAATATATCTCGAAGTTTATACATTTTTTATTCATTTTTTGTATTTATAAGATAAACATCTAAATCAAGACCAAATTCAGCTAATGTTTGTCGACATGAACCACATGGACCAGTAAAACCTAATTCAACATCCCTAAACAAAAAGAATTATATAGTGATAACTTTTTTCTTCTTGTTTAAAGATAAATTTAACATGTAATTGCAATTGTTTGAAAAGATTGTTCACCTTCAGATACAGCTTTAATAATGGCTGTACGTTCAGCACAAGTTAATAATGGATATGAAACGTTTTCAATATTACATCCAGTATATATTTTTCCGTTGATGTTAATAAAGCTGCTCCTACTCTATTCAGTTAACACGAAAAACATATATCATGTAAATATTATCAAATCCTACCGAAAGTGTGAATAAGGACAATAAGCTCTATGTTTAGCCAAACGAGCTTCATCAAATAATTCTAAAGAAAAAAGGTTTTACTAATATAGTAATAAAATTGTTTTTATTTAAAAATAAGTTATGTTTTTTGAATGTTATGTTTCTAAGAAACGCAACCTTTTCTTTTTTTTAAGTATTTTTTTGTTCGATTCTATTGAATATAAAATAAACCAGTAAAATATCCTGAATGAATGAAATTATAAATCAAATATGTCATCACTAAGGCGATCATTTCGAAAACATATTTATTTTGTGCCTCTCTTCAATGGTATTCTCCGAGTATTACAATATCTATTGGTTAACGAATTATCTGATAGAATCATTATGTTCGTCAGGCTCAATGATCCAGTTGGTCTAGCTTTCGCCAGGACTATATTGTATTTCATTCACACTACGGCCGGTCATTTTTCTATTGTTTAAGTATAATATATAATAGCGTGTTATTTGACTTCACAAACATTCATTCGAAAAAATTTTGTTTTGAACGAAACACTGATTTTTTACCTTGTAGAAATGACTGAATCATTCGAGCTTTTCGTGAATTTTCTCGACGACTTTGACATCGAAAATTTGAAAGAAGCTATTGAAGTAAGTGGGCAGGATTATTGTAATGCATAGTGACTGCTGTTGATAATTTTAGGCAATTACTATTATTATTGATCGTTATAAAAATCCAATAGCAGAAAAAGATAAGAAGATTCTTATTAGATGTTTAAAATGTCGAGTACAAGCTAATTTTGAAGATAAAAATTATAAAGGTAAGCAATTAATTTTTAGAAATAAATAAAATCCATGAATAATCATTTTTTTGATTTCTATCTGATTGCTCGATATATTCTGATAAAACACTTATAGAATCTTCTTGCCTTTTAGCTAAACTAAAGTTTTCTTTAGATACTTTAACTGATCTTGAACAATTGATGAATCTCGGATTCAACGTACGTGATAATGAAATATTAAATTCAATACTTATGTAAGTTAACAATTTGATTTCAAACAATATCTACAACCATTTTTTAATCAAACTCGATTCAATTGTTCCATTGCCAATGCAATGGAAGAGCTGAAAGCAGGCCAAAGTAAATTTAAGTACATCTGTCTTGAGACTTCGTATCTATTATCGAACATGACTCGAAGGCGAGTATCATCGTGCTTTGTAACGCTAATCAAACCATATTAGGTATCTATTCCATCTGTAATTAAATAATCGTTATGATTTGAACACAAATTGTCACTTGCTCTTAAAAGTTTATCAGAATCACAGAAAATTATCATACACGTGAAATGTTTTTCTCAATAATANATCTTTTTTTGTTTAATTTTTTTTGTCTTTTACAAGTTCTTGAACCTGTAGCTGTTCGTTTTGCTGATTTTCTAGAAACAAAAAACAAATACAATTAATAAATATATTCATTTAAAAAAAAGTAAAATTGAAATTCTATGAAAATTTTTTTTTTTAGAATTTGTTTTGTTTTTAGGTTCTCTTACAGATGAACATGTTCCATACAATAAAATTATCATATGACTTATTTAATATAAAACAATTTCCACAAACACTTATTAACGAATCGATATATGAATAATTTGAATGATCTACCTTATTGAATCAAACACATGTTTATTTTGTTGCAATCTTCAATATCTAAAATCGTGTGTGTATATTATTGTCTGTTCATTATATTTTTGTAACATTTTTATCAAAAAGTCAGATATCAAAAATAACTTAATGTTTATTTCACATGTAAATGGTTTATGTGAATAGTATTTGTTTTTCTTTGTTTAAAATTTCTTCTGATTTAATCAAAGAATAAACTTGTTTTTTCCATCTTTTTCTTATACAAAATTTTTTCGTATTACTAATACAAAAGTAAAGACAGTTGTACTATCGATTATAGAAATAGCTCAACATATGAAATCAGTAGAACGATTAAAGATTAGACGTCAACAAAAATTCTAGTGTTAAAAGTATTAAGTTTAAATAAGAGATTTTTTTAAGTGCATGCGAGGTTTATAGTAATAGTTATTTCGTTAAATAAGTAAGATATGAACTAAATAATGGTGTTATTTGTTTATTAGAATAATTATTAAAAATAAAAATAAAAATCTCTTTTAAACAATGCTGCCACTCATATTTATTCATAAATTATTTTACATTTTCTTCATTATCATGCTTCAATTGAATCCTTCAAACAGTTGTTTTAATGATAAAATGAAGTTTGAAGTACACTTACTGTATTGATTTTTCCAATTAAATTATGAAATATTATTTCATTTTAATTGTAAAAGAAACAAATCGATTGGAAAGCAAACGTATTAAATGTAAGAGAACGGTATTATTTTGTAAGCTTTGATTTAATGTGTTAATGTTGATTTATTCTGAATGATAGAAATATCCAAGATGATAAAATGATTTATTTTGCTGGGATTTTTTAGTAGTACTAGATTTATGTTGCGATAAAAGAACATTTATTCTAATTGCATTAATCGTGAATTATGGTACAGCAAGCTTTGCCTTTATTCTACATTAGATCTTAACTTTTGCTTTCATAATCTTATGATTACTATATTATCCTCTTGAATTCGTTTTGTGATACAACAAGTATTCCATTAAAAATCTCTTTGTTTTAACAGCTACTATCTGTTATAATTAGCTAAGAAATCGATTTTGACATTTTCAACTCTAATTCCTAAATCAATCGTTTTTACAATGATCTATCTCCAAAAATGTGTTAATAATAATGAATGGCTTTGTTAACTTGTACACTATCGAATTTAACTATTATCTTCGATTCATATTTAAATGATTGAGCAGCATTTTTTCAGCATGAAGAAGTATCGAAATAAACTTCTTCGTTTGCGTTCTCAATCTCTTGATGATTATGAAAACAAGCTTCGACTTATTTGAAGAGTTATAAATGATGCAATTATTTATTATAATGAAGCAAAGAAACGCTCGTAATCATCAATTTGCTCTTCAATTATGACTCAGTAAATCATATAAGTTCTAAAAAGCTATGAAAATTCTGATATAATTCATGTCTGTAGCTTCTTGCTTCTCGGCTATTACACATTCGCAATATTTTTAGTTCGATACTACTGTTTCTGTCAGAATCATTGGGAAAATAATACTGAATTTCATTTTGAAGTTTTCTGCAGAGAAACGCCTNCTTTCGTTTCATAGTTACATTTTCAGAAGAAACCCAACAGAATCATAATGCAATTAACGTTACGGACCATTTTTTTAAGTCGCAGAATAAGCTTTTATGGGTTGCCCAAGGGTGTAAAGCATGCGCATTACAATAATGGAGTTTTTTTTTTTCGTTACTTTAGAATTAAAAAAAACTCCATTATTGTAATGCGCATGCTTGACACCCTTGGGCAACCCATAAAAGCTTATTCTGCGACTTAAAAAAATGGTCCGTAACGTTAATTGCATTATGATTCTGTTGGGTTTCTTCTGAAAATGTAACTATGAAACGAAAGAAATACACACACTAATGTATTTTTATTATCGTTACTGTCATTATTTTTCTTTCGTTCGCATCTGTACAGTGAGTGGCAATGACAAGGTAGAAAGCGTAAACAAATGAGTACCGAAGAAAATCAAGACTGCACTTTTCTTTTTTCTTTCTTTGAATGTGATTGTATCCCATCAAGAGCTATTTGCCATCGTTTCTCTCTCTATATTTTTGTCGAATAGACAAGTATGGATGAATAAGAATGCATTAAAATCAACTAAACAGGACGCTTCTGAATCTTGCAGGAATAGCATTTTCAAACACATGACTATTTTTTATAAATTTACAAATTAAGAGCATAAAGTGTCGGGAAGATAAGTGACCGACTGGACACATTTCATTTTTTCTTTATTATTGCCTAAGAATAGTTTTCTTTTAATTTGAACAACCATAAAATGAACGAATTTCAGCGATATCAATTGGACTAAGATGTTCTCTTTGACCAATTCTTACATCATTCACTTTAGGTGTAATAGTTGGTTGTCCATTACTACTAAAATAATTACTACCATAGTGCATAATACTTTCAAAATCATAACTAGTATTTTGATTGTAAACAGTATTACCCCATCTGTATTTGTTAAAGTTATGTTCCTATAATACATCTTTAGAACATTAGTTAATTCAATAAAACGATAAACCTACATGACCCGATTGAATATTAGCTTGATTAATAGTAACATACATATCACGATCAGGACGTGATTGTTCATGATAGAAACCTAATAAGAAAATAGATAACTTATCGATTCCATATAAAAGAAAAAATATAAATAAATTTTTTTCTATTCCTTACCGAGAACATGCATAAGTTCATGTTGAATAGTACCAGAACCAAAACATCCAGGATAGGCAAGTGACATGGTATTTGGAGCAAATGAAAAACCAACCTAGGATAGAATTGAAAAAAAAACCAAAATATATTTCTCCTATTTACTGTGGCACTACAACCAGTTCCATAATTAATCTTCAGAACGTTTAATTCATTTGGTAATGCAGGTCGAAAAGTAAAACAGGGTTTGCGTGTTGTTTGACCTGATATAGGTGTACTAGTGACACTCACTAATGTTGCCATTGCTGATTCAATCATACTACGATGTCCAGCATCTGTAAAATAATTTTTTTTTTATTTTTATTTTGATTCAATTTTATTTTTCAAAATTATTTTACTTGTAATTAAAGACATATCATAGGGAATTACATTTTTAGACCAACGACGAGGTCCATAAATAGCCACACCTCTTCCAGTCGGTTCAATTGTTGGATCGAATCCATCAGGAAAGATCATATCACCCTCGAAACCACCACCTAATTGATAAATCAAATCGAAATTATTGAATAATTAATATCAATAATTACCTAGCCATTCATAATCAACTTCATTTTCGATGGAATTTCGGATAGGAGTATTGAAAACAATACAGAAACAAATAGAAGAGGCGATTAAGGTTTGGAACAACATATTTATATCCTAATGGATAGTATGAAAATCGATTTTGCATTTGGTTTTATACTGAAAATTATTATAGCTCTGTTTATGACAAGAGCAATAAAAACATGCAAATTTGTGGGAGATCAAACAGATGATTGAGTATACGCAAATTAATCGATTACGTCTTATCATATGTTGTGTACTACGCAGTCTCTTAGTAGAAATAAGTGCGTGGGTGGATATTTTCTCATTGATATTTTTCGATAAATGCGATTGTGTATGAAAGAAAAAAAATATATTCAGATAATGAGTTAATATTGCAATTAATCCTGATTGTAAAGTTTAATGTATCGTTTGGTATTACTATGAAATCTGATATTTGTGCATTTTTAAAAGTACTAAATTTATAATGGTAATTAAAACATCAAATTCTCAATATTCCTAGATAAGAAGCTTACTTTATATTTTTCTGTACTTCTGTATAGTTCGAGATAATTCTACGTATTTGTTACTTTTAAAATATCAATGTATAGCATATTTTTTTGCGCTAGATACAGTTGGATATTTTATTTTACAATTTTACCATAGAAACGAACGCATACAAATATTTTATAATAATTTTCCATCCAGGAAAGGTAGCATTGTTTATTTTTTTTTTATAAAGTAGAAAAGCAAAACGGTATCGCGAGTAAATGTATTATTGATCGACCATAATAAGCGCATATGCTTCTATTATGATTCATAAAAAAATCTTGCATTTGTTTGTTCAATTGTTGCTATTAATTTTAACTAAAATTCACCCGTATCACTTTCTGTTTCGCTACAAGGTTCACTATGATGAAAATCTGAGTTGCTTAACTTAGTAGATGTCGCTCTCAGAGTAGTCATCAAATATTTTGTCATCAGTTCCATATCTACGACTGCTGAGCTATCACGTTTTTCATGTTGTAGTTTAGATTCATCTGATTTACTAGAAGATTTTTGTTGAAGATTTAATTGTTTCGAAAGAACGAATCTATCTTTCTTGTGTTCTATTCGAGATGCTACCGATCCTTCGGAATCGATCGATGTTGTACTGATAATACTAGCATGAGTGGGAAAAGACGTATCGGATTCGTTATAATTATTGTCATGTATTGATTCTTGATGTGTATTAAGTCCATTTGATCTAGCAGATAAAAATTGATCGTTAAATTTATTTGAGCGAATTGATGGTGAACCGATGGTTATATTATTAAGTGGATTTGGTTTATCAGACTCGATTGCAATTTCTTTATTAACATTATTATGATCATTGTTTGATTCAGTTGATTCAATAGCTGTCCTTGATATTATAGCTTCTAGGCATGATGTTAGATCTTCTGACTCATTCGACATGACCGATGAAACAACAAGTTTTGTTGGTATTGGCAACGGATTTCTATAAACAACTGTCGAAGATGCTTTTGAGATGTCTGCTTCACCTGATATATCTTGGACGGTATCCGCATGTGATACATTTGATTTGGATTTTTCCGCTGTATTTGGTTTAACTCTGAATTGTATACAGCCCATAGAAATGATTTTGTTATAATCAACTAACTTTCAATGTTTCTTTTTTCTTATTACAATCTATGATAAATTCTTATTCGTGTACGATTGGATGTTATCTTATCAAGAAATAAATACCAACGCAAATAAAAGACAACATTAAGAAATTTTCAACATAGAATGTTGATAAACGCTTTTAGAAGGTCATATCAATGAAGTATGATCGTGTCAACATTATACTTTTACACTAGAAAAGTAACAAAGCACTTCTCTAATTCGATTCAAAGATAAAGATGGGACAATTTTTTTTTTCTCATAATTCTCAAACTATGGAAAAGTATACATCAGAAGGAGGTGCCCGTGCTTTCAATGCTGACATGGAAACATTCCTAGGTATCTGCATTAGAATTTTGCAGATGATAAATCTTAAGATTTTTTGAAAAAATTGAAAATGATTTTTCTTAGGGGACACAAGCATTTATTGTACTGCTGAATAGTGTAGGACAGAAATAGTCACCAAAAAAGTGTTTGCAATTATTTTCATGTCCATAGAAAATATTCAAACAATTCTAAATATTAGTTCAAATAGACACAGACACCTGAGAAATGTTCTTTAGTGAATTACGCCTGTGGTTGTTATCTTTATAAAAGAATAGTAACTACATCCAAAATAATTTCCATAGTCAAACATCAAAAGGATGTACATCTTCTCAGAAGATCAGTAATTTGTAGTATGAGAGATTGTTACATGTAAGAGTTGTTCAATAAATATTTTTTGAAAGAAACCTCATTCAAATAATTTGCCGACATAAGGATGTTTTTTGAAAAAACAATAGTTTATTTTGATCAAGTCGAATACCTTATTTACATCGATTGTAGTGCACTCTTTTCTTGTAAATTATGAAAAATTTTACACAATAATTTATAATTTCTTTTAAATTATCGACTTCCTATTATTAATTATCATCATTTTTCAATCGAAAATATGTCTCTAAACGTATTAGACGCGTTTTAAAAGAGTCCAATGAATTATTGAACAAAGATCATACATAGTAAAACTATTCTAAACTTTCATTTTCTGAATTCGATTAATACTTACTTACTGTTTATTTTTTCACATAAGAAATGTTGTAACTTTTACCAATATCATTTACATTTACATCATTAGCAAAAATTCTTTTAATTATTGGTATTAATATGTTTCTTGCTTATGTATGGTATTCACCGATAGGTTTTCAAAAACAATGGATGAAAGCAATGCAATCGACAGAAGGTGAAGAATGTAATAATATGGCTATTTTTATGGCACATGTAGGAGCTTTATTAAGTTCTTTATTTTTAAATATATTATTAATTGCATTCGATATACGAAAACATCAATATCTTAGTGCTATGTTGGCTGCTGGAATACTATGTGGATTTTATGCTGTAAGTTTCTTTTTATTAAAAAAACATATTTAATATTTTATAAAATATGAAATGAGCTAGTCAAGAGATTATTTTAAATTTTTTAGTTTAATGGTTGGAACTATGTGTTTTTTACAAAAAAAACTGATCGCCAACGTCATCGTACATTATATTTAATTGATATTGGCTTTATCTTTGTTCTTTATACTCTTATATCATTTGTATTAGTTAGTTTTTAATATTGTTCTATACTTTATTATTTCATATGTAAAGTCAGATACTTAGTGTTATTATTACTATATATATATGTATTTATCTTTTTCTTTTTTTATATCATTAAAATGAAAATATGATTCTCGGTGAACTATGACATATAATTTTTTTTTCTGTATTACTGAAAGAGAATTCGTTTGAATAATAAGAAAGTTCACTGGATCCACGACTAACCCAACGGGTTCTAGTATTTAGACTTGGCTTTCTTTATTACACAAAAAGAATGTATATTTCAAGAAAATTCAAATCATTTTCATGAAGAAAGTAATAACGGAAAATGGAGTTAAACTCGATGATTTGTTTCGTTTGTTCAATAAGATCTTGGACAGTGAAGGGAGAGAAGTTTAACATAATCGAGCTAAGTTTTTCTTCGTTACGCGACTACTCTGGTGATTGTCCAATTGGTTGATGAGATTCACTTGGATTTTTTAGTATATCACATTATTAAATACCTTTCTCTACAGTTCAACTAGCATATTCGAAATATTTCAATGGCTATTCAAGTTTATTACAACAATTAATCCATTATTTAATAAAGATAGCTTAATATTGATTCTTTCAGTATCAAAATATTATCAAATGTGTCTTTTCATTCAATGCATAATCTTAATTAATAAGTTTCTTTACACCCACCACACCCATAATCAGATGAATTCATATCGATTTTACTTTTCGGTATATTTTTAAAGAGAAAAATAGTTGACACAAAAAAAAACCATTGTTTGTTTCTTTTCTTTTTCTCTACTGTCTCTTAGATTTTTAAACTAAACAAATCCGTCAATAAACAGCACAAGTATTAGAAACAAAACAAAGACCATAACATTGCTATTATTTTTATCAATAGCAATGTAATATAGTAAAAGGAAAAAAAAAGAAAACAAATAAAATGAAAGAACGACAAACAAACCAGAGGTAGACTGACTACTGTAATCGAAAAATAATATTTCCGATCAACAGTTAGCAGAACACATTTACCAAGTCGAACTTGATGCACGAACAAAAGAAAAATGATATGATCACTCTGTCAACGGTTAATGTGCTAGGCTAAAGAGAAGCAAACGTCTAATACAAAAAAGACTAGACAACGAAAAGAAAAAAAAAGAAATTTTTTTTTTCCTCCAACAAATAAACACACACAGACAAAAACAGAAAGAATAATTGCCCTAGAAACTACAAAAAAGAAAAACAAACATGAAAACATATCAGACTGAAAGGCGAATAAATCAATCGCCTATATGTCTTAATCGATTTCATTATTTAATAATGCTGCTGCTTGATTAGCTACTTCTGTTATAGTAGTCACAGAAGATGTTGATGCTTGTTGATCATCAATTGATTGTTTAGCAAATTCTTCACGAAGTAAATCAAGATCTTTTTCTCGTATTTGAATAAATAGAATACCATTAACAACATTAAGCATTTCTAAGACATTTTGAAAACTTGGTTGTTGAATCTAAATTTATTTTATTAAAAATTTAATCAAATAAAAATATATAGTAGTGAAACAATTTTTCAACTATCATACAAGCTCGAAATTTGAGTGTGAGTACAATTCTTCTTTAATAGACACCCACACTCACCCTCGTGAGTTAGACACTTATGTCCATTATTACAGAAATAAACAAAAATTTGAATACTTACAGTTAAACTTGGTATAACAAGTAATTGACCTTTAACAACATCATTGATTCGTTTTTGTAAAACAACAGCTTGTTCAGTTAAATGTTTAAGTACTTGAGCACTTTCACGTGTTCTTTCATGTTCATCACCAAGCTAAGAGAATGGAAAAAAAAACAATAGAAAATAATCTCAATAATTTATTTGTTTTATATTTACTTGTAATTTATATATTTGATAAGCTTCACGTTCACTGTTTAATGCTGATCGAAAATCACCACGACATGATTGAATACGTGCACAAAGATGATGAGATAGAGCTACTTTAAGACTCTTTGTTCCATAGAATCTAAAATAAATATTGTAACAATTAAACTCGGCATTTTTTTGTACGTTAAAAATCGAGATTTTTACAATAATATTTCTCAAAATTAAATTCAAAGAATTTCTTCTGATAATATATCAAACTAAAAAGTTCGATTTTTATAAAAATCAAGAAATATCAAAATGAAATCAACAGGAAAATCTTTATGTAAGAGTCAATAACAATATACCATCATTTAACTTGTTAGCTCCTTCTTTTTATTTACATATTCTTGAATAGAACTTTTCATTTACAAAAATGAATTAATAACTTACGTTTTATTTAATTCAAGTGATTTTTCCATAAATTTAAGTGCATTTTCATAATCACCATATGATTGTAAAATCAATCCAAGATTACTCTAATTAAAAGTATTTAATAACATATATATTAACAAAACAAATCCAAAACATCTTTCTTCTTACATCAATAAGACTAATTTGTGGATGATTTTCACCACAACATGTTAATATAATATATCGAGCACGACAAAGTAATTTTGATGCATTTATTGAAAGACCATTTGCAAATGAATATAAAGCCATATGAATCTATATATTGAAAATTTTGTTTTCATTTAATATTGTATTTTATTATAAAAAAGAAAAAAAAACTTACATATTCTGTTGCTGTTTGTGGATGATCAATACCTAAAACTCGTTCAGACATCATAACAGCTTTATGTTGTGTCATAAGTGCTTCTTGATAATCTCCCATAATATAATTTAATCTTGCAAGTAATCTTAAACACATACTAATTTCAGGATGCATTGGTCCATAAACATTATTTAATAAATTATGTGCTTCAGATATTAATTCAAAACCTTCACGAAGTAAACCTTGTTGAATTTTTTGTTGTCCACTTGTAAAAAATTGATAAGCATCAGTTGGCTAAATAAAAATAATTAAGAAAAAAAAATTACAAAATTTTTAAATTTAATTATTTCGAAAATTAAATAATTTACTTTTGGTGGAACATGTTTAATTATTGGAAATATATTAATAATATCATTTTCATTAAAACATTCATTATTAGAACGAGATGATTTATTTATTGTTTCAAATTGATATTCACGCATTGTTATTTGTAAACCAGTTTTTCGACAAAATGAACGTAAAATACATGTACGACGAATAGCATATTTTTCAATAAATAATTCAATATCATCACTAAGATACAAAATGAAAATGAATATTATGAAAACAAAAAAGAATTTATAATTTTTGTTATTAGAAGCAAACAGTACTTGCAGAAAACTATAGTATTTACATAGGATACGAGCGATGTTGCAAGATACAACCAATGCAAACGTGCGTCTATCATATTTGATGTTCTTATTTCAGGATAGGAATAGATCAAATAGCCTGACTCATCAAGAATTGTTTCTATGCAAAGTTTCACGTTGAAATTCGAAAATGAAGTTTTCTGAGGGGGACTACGACATTGTATTAAAATGTAATGTGCCGACAGCAATAAGCTGTGAGTCGAATCCCTTTTCAAAATGTTCATAACTCATTTGGATCTACATAACGCACATAGTTCCAGTATTACAATGATATTTTGTCGCGTGATATACAAAAAAAAAGGCTCGTTTACTATTTCCGTATACAATTAAATATTGAAATAAATAATTGTAAAATTCCTTACCAATTTAAATCAAAATTATATCTTGATTTTGCTTCATTGATTATTTGTGTCCAAAGTACTTTTGAAGTTAATGTTGAAAACTCTAATGATTCTAAAAGAGAAAAAAAATTAATTTTTGATTGTATTATTTTTTTTCTAAAATTTTTACCATTTCTCATCATTGGACTATGTTTACGGTGTTGTTGTTGTTGTTGTTTTTTATTTTTCTTTTTAGCATTCAATTTTTGAGATGAAATATTTGTTGAATTTGATAATGATACATTTGATGTATTATTTGTTGATTGAGTAGTTGCTGATGTTAATTCATCGAATGTATAATCCATTGTTGATGATGATATAATTGTTAGAAAACAATTAAGAAAATGACTTATGGAATATGATAAAAGATGAATTGGTACTGATTGTAAATATGTACGAAATGCGTGTTTTGCACTTCGACAAAGAATTTCAGTTACAACTATTTCCTAAATAGATTTTAGAAAATTAAAATACAATGAATATAAAATCACAAGATATACTTACATATATATAAGTAAGAGAAGGTTGTTGAGTAAGAAGTTGAGCTACGCGACCAAGATAACGAATATTAATACCTCTAAATAACAATGAATATTTCTCTATTGACTGAATTTAAGAAATAAATATCTGTTTTATGAGCGAACTTTGTAAATCGATACGAACTCTACATGAGGTCGTAAATTAACGAAATACAAAAGTGACCAAGCTCTCGAAAAATTTTTCCTACCTTGAATGCATAGCTTCTGAAAGACTTTCACCATCGACAGGTACAGCTGAATGATCTTGAAAATCTTGTATCATTAATGGAATTTGTTTTAATACTAAATATTCAGTTGCTTCTTTAATTAATTTAATATCCGCTAATGTTTCATCAGACTAGAAATATAAAATAAATAAATAAATATTTTAATACAAAAATTTTATATTTGACTACCGTTTGATTAAGTGTAACATGTGGTTGAAATAAATCAGGATTAAAACGAACATCAAATTCATTATCTTTTACTGATCCAATCGAACGACATGCTGATTGAATTATTTCTCGACTATTATCTTCAACTAAAAGATATAAAATTAATTAATCATATTTATTTTATTGATCAATCTATTTTACCACTGATTTCATTGACTATACGTTTAGCTTCTTCAACATTTGTTCGTTCAGTAGTTTCGTTTGATAATGCCTAAGATTATTAATAAAATAAAATCTTTTTAATTACTAATAAATAAAGAACATACTTCATTAGATCGTAATTTTGATAAATTAAGTGCAATTGAACGATAAAAATCAACATATTTTTGTCTAGATATGAAAGAAAACTAATTCAAAAACAAACAAACAAATTGAATCTTACTCAACAAAAGCATCGATTAATTCTTGTCTTAAACAACATAAACGATGTTTATATGTTTTTGGATAATCAAGTTGTTTCATAGATGGTGATAAATGTTCAACATCAACTAAACATATTAACATAAATAAAATAATTAAAGTATTTACAAAATTAATTATAACACGTCAGGAGAGTTTCGCATAGATTTTTGATTTGTCAAAGATCTTATTCTTGGAAAGCAACCCATTCACTACTACACCTTCACCAGCTTGAGCCTACCGAGTCGAAACCGGTTCTGGGACGAGTCCGATGGGCTCTATCACCAATACCCTTAACTATTTGAATGTCATCCTAATGATATGCAGATTGTAATCTAACTGGTATGAAACCTGCTATCAAGTGATTCTCTTGTATGCTATTGCTCATGTTTCTTTCAATCGATATAATATCTTCTCAGAATCGACCAGTCTACTGGTTACATCTATGGGGTCTTTACAATTTTTCAAATAACTATTTTCTTTGTATTTTGCTTTTATCATTATGTTTTAACATAGAAAAAGTTAAATGAATATTAAGTTACCTGGTAAATAATTAAGATCAGGTGGTGTCATACGTAATAGATCTAATAAATAATGTCTTCCATCATTTCCAACAATACCTTTACATTCGACAGCTGTTAATAGTTCAATAGAATCTCCTTTTTCCGTTTTAATTGTATGTGGTTTAATTTTAAGCATAGTTGAAACTTTTTCCAATAATTCTCTATATTTTTCATTTGTTGTACAAGTTTTACCAAAATCTGTTGATCCATAAACAACACTTTGTTCTTGTTCTTTTTCAAGAATACCTAAAAGAAAACAAAAAAAAAAAAAACGAAATAAATCAATAACAATAATAATAATAGAATTTTTTCTTTTATTTAAATTGAATTATTTTTATGAAAAACAAGATGTTATATTTAATGAATAATTAATACGATAAATTGAATAATGTAATGGTATTAAACGATATATATTAGAAAAATATTTTATACATTCAGTTCTTTGATAATAATGATTAATTTTATTTGATAAACTTTCTTGACATTTATAACAATAAAATGTTTCTCGATGTCCAATTTTAATTGGAGTTTGTTTAGATAAATAACTTATTAAAAAATTCATCGCTATATCTTCACAATTCATATTTAATTGAACATATTCACGTATTTGTTTAGACATTATATTTGTATAAAAATCTAAATACCAACGATGTAAAAAAGCAGCACCAGTTAATATCATTGAATATGAACATGATGATGGTGATGCATCATATTCTAATGTATTTGATTTATGTGAACGTGAAATAAAACCAACAAGACGTGAACGATTTTCTTTCCATATACGAAATGCATATTCAATTTCATCATGTCGTAAAAAACTATCATCATCTAATGATAATATACAATCTGTATGAATAAATTCATTCCATGGTAAAAAACGATTATTTAAATTATTTAATAAATTAAATATATAAATTATTTCAACATGTATTGATGGTAAATAAATCGAATAATTATCAAGAAAATCTTTTAATAAAAGATTTTCATTTTTAAAATTTTCTATAGGATCAACTTGATTAAATAAAACAATAATACGATCAAGATTTATTAAACCATTTAAATGTAATAATAAACGATTTAATTGATAAAAACGTTTTTTATGTGTTAAAATAATAATTGTATATTTTTCTTGAGTAAATGACATTTCAAATGGATTGGTTAATATTTTTGAACGATAAAATGGTTGATATAAACGATTCCATTGATCATAAAATGTTGGTTCAATATATATTGAATGTTTTTTATTTGATTGAAAATTAATTTTATCCATTAAACCAATTGGCATTTGACTAAAATTAAGATTTCGTGAATGAATTAAATAATAGAAATTTTTTTCTTTTATTAATTGATTTTTTATTTTAACAAACGTTAATTCATTTGATAATGTTGGTAAACGATAATATGTACGTAAATATGCAATTAATGTATGAAAACGATGTTCAAATGTTTGAAAATAAATTGTATATAACCATGATAAAGATGATGATGGATGTAACCAATCAATTACATTTGAATATGGAAGATAATTTTCACAATTGAAAAGTTTTATATGTATTTGTTGTGAAAGAAAATAAAAAAATGCTTCATAAAATTCATATTGAATTGAAATAGAATATATAGAAGAACAAATAACAGATATAATTGATATATTTTTATTGAAAATTGTTTGATAACAAGATCGATGAGAACATTCAATGGTTATTTCATATTCGATTTTTAATCGATCATATTCACGTGCCGCAATAATAGCTAAAATAAAATTATAGTTTTATTTTTCAATTTAAAGAAACTTTTATATTCATATTTTATCAAAGGAAAATTTTCAGAATAAATTTACTTAATAAGAATTAGATTGCACTTTGACCTATGTCAGGTATATTTGGCGATCTGATCCAAAAAATGTTCAGTTTTAAGATGTCGTCGCGAGATTAGATATGTGGGCTAACGAGGAAACCTCCTGAGGTGTAACCTCCCATTTTGATTCATTTATATTTCATTTAAGTGAGCATATTGAGATAGTAAAAACCCCAAAAGGATTTAGGTTCCTGCTGCTTCTATCAAGAGTTGTGACCGTTTTACTGAATTTCCTATTCATTCGTAGGTATTTACTGTAAAAATAAAATTAGGGAATTTGGACCTAAAATTCTGCTCACAAATAGATCCAATGGTCCTTAAAATATCCTGAAAGTTTCAGCCAAAAATAGTGTTCCTTTCTCGAGATATTGATTTTTCAAAAAATAGTCGCTAGCCATAAATACGTCACAAAAACTGGGTCCACTCGAAAAATTAATATCTCGAGAAAGGAACATTCTTTTTGGCTGAAACTTTCAGGATATTTTAAGGACCATTGGGCCTATTTGTAGGCAAAATTTCAGGTCGAAAATTCAGTAAAACGATTATAACTCTTGATAGCAGCAACAGGAACCCAAATCCTTTTAGGGTTTTTACTATCTCAATATGTTCAGTTAAATAAGATATAAATGAATCAAAATGGGAGGTTCCCTCGTAAGTCTCAGCGATTAAGACCCCCCACTCAAAAACCGATCTCAGCCCAGATATGCTCAAATGGGCTGAAATTTGGAGCATATGTTGGGGCTGAAGTGAGGAGGCTGTGGTAAAATTTTCAGCTCGATACTATGACGTTTGGCAGAGATATGAACCAAACAAGGGTCAAAAATAGCTCATTTTCTGTCCAAGATTTCTCGGTCCAGGCTCATGCTATATGTTTAATTTTTTTTTATTAGAAAGAGCATGTCAGGATGCAGGGC